TGAACAATAAAGTTAAAACCCAAAAGGAAAAAAAAAAAAAATACTCCCAGTTGTCAACTCTAAAAATATAAAAATGACAACAAAAATTTAGACAAATAAAAACGACTACAAAGGGACTAATGGTGTATGGTGTGAATCCTGTTGTAGATCCCTTCTCACCCATTTTTCATAAGGGTAAAACCCAATTTTAGTTTCTTTATTTTAATAAAAAGTTTTTTTAATCCCTTTACTTAAAAAATTTATTTTTAGTTCCTAAAATTTATTATTTAACCTCTTTTTAGTTCCTCTATTATCTTTCTATACACATAACATAATAACAAAAATTCTAAAGTAAAAAAATTTAAAAAAAAAAAGACTAAAAGAGCTCATTTTTAATCCTTTTACTTAAAAAAAAAAAACTCTTTTATAATCACTTTATTTTAAAACTTTTGTTATTTAATGCATCATATGTACAAAAAGATGACAAAAAGACTAAAAAAAAATCAGATAATAACCTTTAGAGACAACAAAAAACACTTTTTTAAGTATAAAAACTGAAAATAAACTTTCTATTAAAGTAGAGACACCAAATTTGAGTTTTAACCTTTTCATAACATTAAATTTCCAAACTTTTAGTTTTAGCTCTTGCATAACCAGAAAGCAAATCTAAAATGAAAAATAAAATAATATTCCCAAGTTCAAATGGATCACACAATCTACATAAGCATAAGTTCATACCGAAGATTATTTTTCACAACAAAAACTGAAGGAACAAGGGTTTATTGGTCAAATCTTTAAATAATTAAGAACAATACTCTAAAACTATATCAACAAACTCTAATTAAAAAAGATTAAAATAACTTATATTAAAAATAATAATAATAGTATTTTAATCTTTTCACATAGTGCTTTATTGAAGGGACCTAGTTTTAGAGTGTCCTCGTAATTTTTCAAAATTCCAACTCATAAACACTAACCTCGTACACACTTATCTCATATCAAAATCTATCAGACAATAAAAAGTTGCAAGCCAGTCCAACTTATACAGGAGATACAGCTAGGGCGTCTTAATTCCTTTGGTTTCTGCAGTTCTACAAAAAACTAAACTCATCCCAACCAACTCCATTTTTTGTAGTAGCGTTACACCAAGTTTCTGAGATCAATCTACCATTTTAGGACATACAATTCCCTCTGTAGAATCACCAACTTGAAACTATGCATTTTTAACTGGCTCCTCTTTTTCACTAATGTATAAGCCCACCGATTTGAACCAATGCATCAGGTTCCTGTGTTCCTTCACGTAAAGCCATGCTTGAAGAAATGGGAAGAGACTCTCATTGATACCCCGCTCTTCAATGTAACTGTAAAGTGCATCCCTCATCCTCTCATCAAGATTTCTGGCAATTAGCAATCATTCAGCACAAATATGGATCAGTAATATACTAACAGAAATTAATTTTTAGAGAAAAAAAAGAGAAGGGACAAGGGAAAATCAGTACATCTTGGCATTAAAAATGTTAAGATGTCCAATAATAACCACACAATGAATTTGATAAAGTTAGGGCCCATACAATGCTTCACATATTTAATGGTTATGATTGGACGTCCTAACATTTTTAATAACAAGACGTCCTGATTTTCCCTTTTCTCAAAAGAAAATACCCTTATCTTGTATCTGTTTAATGAAGCAGTTTAGCATCTGAATGGAAACATTATTGGACCCTAACTACCAAAACATTTCCAATGCAACAGCAAATGCAAGTCCATGGTAAAGAAATATAAGGCAAGATGATGAATTAAATATTGATTAAAAAAAAAAAAAAACACGTTTGTTCAAGTGAAACCAACATGAGAGACCTTAAAATTTGATTACAGGTATGGAACGACAGAGCCTAACCTAAGATCATCATAACTAATTGAGCAGGAGAGAACACAAATTTGGAAAAAGACACTTAGGTCTGAAGTACGAGCCGAGCAAGTTTCAAATAGGCTCAACAATGTACTATATTGGATGAATATAATGGTGCACCTAAGCAGAACATTTGGTTACCAATTGCAGTTCTGTTGGCACTCCAAGCCTGGAGAATATGCAACAAATCTGTCTTTCTACCATGGTGGCCAATATTATTAAGTTCTATCCACACAAGTCTACATATCACCAATGGCCGTCCATATCATTCCAACTGGTTACTGTTTGACCATCTGACATTATGATATACTACTGTGTAACAAGTATAATAGTTTCCATTTCAATATGTGAAAAAAGAAAAGGAAGAAAAAAGAGAAATAGTATAAAAGCAATTGCATATCCACATTGTTAATAGTTAACATCTCCAGCAGCTTGCCTGGAAGATGGTACTTCAACCTGAAATAAATTAATACATAACACAATTATTTTAAACCCTCATTCAACTATTAAACTATCATACTACCACATTTCCTCAGGAATTGTCCACCGCAATATATTATATAATGAATTTTATTACTAAATGTACATGAAAAGGCACAATATTATAACTTACTCAAAATCAGGGCCGTTATATTTAGATGAGACAACGAGGAACTCTGAAGTCTCAAGCTTTTGCCTCATTGAAACAGAATGGATTCCCAGTGCATCAGGATACAATCCACATAAAAAATGCAAAGACTCATCCTGCCCTGGCTTTGAAATGTCCACATGAAGGAACAACTGATTAATTCCATCATCATCATCATCATCATCCCCACCACCAATAACATTAGCCAAACGCATTACATAGATGCTAATTTCCTCCTTGCCATAGGTTCGCTTGAGGACAGGCCCATGGGAATCAAGTGCACCCTTGATGATAGCGAATGGTGTAGGAGGGCTAACTTTCTGAATTACAAAAAATGAGAATAAAATTAGATAATCCACTTAAAGCTTCAAACAAACTCATACGCACTTCTTTTTCATTCCTACATATCTAATCATAATACAAATCATTATCTGTCAAAATGCTTTCATATTTTACCATAAATAAACCATCAAATTACAAATCAATCAATTATGAATATTACAAGTTAACCCGCATTAGTGGCTGGAAAAACCAGTTAAATTCGAACTCACAGGTATGCCAAGACTTCGTCCATTCATGCCTAGTTGGGTTGTTCTAGTTTAATAAAAAAAAAAATGTAGAGCAAGCTCTAAATAGGGCACAAAATATTACCATCCGTTAAAAAAAAAGACCCTTTAAAGAGGTAGCTTTTCTTTACTAAAAGATGAAGGGTATGTATCATTTGATGAACACCAAAGTTCCAAAAATTATCAGATTGTACACAAGTAGGCATAAAATAAATGTATTTGCAACATCATGTTTCAGCTATTATCTGAAACCCTAAGGGTTTTAGAGAGATATTCATGTAAGCATAAACAAGGGGACAACATAGCGAGAAAGAGAGAGTCTCGTACTGGGGGAGGATTCATTTTAGAGACTTCCAAATAGTGATCTTTCAAGGCGCGGAGCAAGATTGAGTCCACGGCAGCAGCGGCATTGTTGCTGCTGGTTTTTGCGCCCCGACTTAAGATCATCCTCCATGAGTGGCGCGCCATCACCGCGCACTCCGTCGCCACTCTTCTCCACATAATAGTAGACTCTCTTCTGTATATTTCCCCTCTCCTCCGCCGCGGCAGCGTTCGCTCGTAGGAAGTAGGATTAAACGACTAATCGGAAGCGGATTGGTCTGGGTTATGATATTTTGAGAACCCGGCCCAAGTTCTGGCCGGAAAAATTATGACCCAAGTCCAGCCCACTTTGGCCAAAAATGTCCTTTTCATATATATATATTTTTTAATACAACAGACGATGCCCTCAAATCCATCCCCATTTATTCCAATATTTGAATTTAAGACACTTATTCCAATATTCAAATTTAAAATTTTTAATATAGAAACTTAATTTATTAATCATTAAAATGTCTCCCAAGGGGCACATTTGGAGTGCCACAGAAACTGTGGGATAAGATAATTTTTGTCATGTCTTACCATTTGTCATGTTTGGTGGGGTGAAGCATAGGGTAAGCTGGAATGAAAGCTTTAGTGGCATCATTGATGGAGTTCTAGTAGTAATGGTATTGTTTTCCTTTAAAGAATTAATAGATTCGAAAGGAGTGTAGTAAGTAGAGATTTTTCTACGTAATGCACATGTAGTTTAAAATCAAAGAAAAGTTGAAATTATTCTTCAGATAGTTAATAGCAATTAAAAAGATAACTTCTTCTTTTTAAAAAGATATTAAGTTCAAATTCCCCATAAATTGTTGTTATTATTGCTACATAAGAAGGGGAGATTTGAGTGAAATCCCATGTTGGTGGGTCTTGAGTAACACCATGTATTCTTCTTGTAATCCCTTAGATACATGTCTAGTCATGCTAATGAGTAGGGGTGTTCATATCCGATCCAATCCGATTGATCCGACCTAAACTGATCCAATCCAATCAAAAACCGATCCAAACCGATATAAAATTGAGTTGGTTTGAATTTTAAAATTTTAAAACCGATATAATTGGTTTGGTTCGTGATTTTACTTTCAAACCGCCCGAAGTGCCCGATTACAAAATAAAATCCGATTAGAAGATAATTTAAGTAAATAATATAACATATTTTTTGTAGTATTTAAAATTTTTTTTTCTTATTTTACAAGATTATAATTCCATTAACTTAATTAAAAAAATAAGAATAAAACATCTTCATATTCCCTAAGTTATTTCTCCATTTTAATCATACACTCTAACTTTAATTCTAAATTTTTAATTCACTTGCAACTCTATCCTCTCAGAACTGGTTTGCGCATTTACTGTTAGAACCCTAAATTTCTAATCTATTCTTAAAATAATCTTATGATTTTCCTATCTAAGTTTTAAATAAGTATTATTCTAAAAGCCTTAAAACCATATAATAAAATTAGTTTTAATATTCAACTATTCTTAGATATTTGGTTTAGAAGTTTTAAATTTCGATTTTGAATGCTTCTAATCAATTTTAATAATATTCATGTTAAATGTTATTCACTTTTAACAGGATTTAAAAAATGTGATTAAATTATTAGTGTATTAAGAAAAAAAATTAATTTTAACCTTCAAGAGTTATTTACGTTGTGCTAGAAATTGGAAATTATTTTTTATTGTTTTTGGTGCCTCTAGTAATAAAACGAAGAAGAATTTTTAGAGCTTTTCAATTTTTACAAATGTAGAGGAGTATAAAAATTTGTTTATAATTTTTACATTTTATTATATTTTTACTGATTTGGATGTTAATGTATTTTATAGTTATACTTTCTATTTGATATTAAAATATTTTTTACATTATCTTATATATTTAATAATGTTAAAAACCGATCAATCCGACCAAACCACATCGATCCGATTTAAATTGAATTGGTTTGGTTATCACATAATAATGGATTGGATTGGTTTAAAAATTTTATTAACCGATTAAATTGGATTGGTTTAAAAAATAATAAAATCCAAACCAAACCACACTACGAACACCCCTACTAATGAGTGACACACCGTGAAGGTGGTTATTTGTTGCATTTAAAT